TGTTCTTCCCTTTTGGTTTTCTAACTCCAGGTCTTTGCACATTTCATTATAGTAATTGGCTTTGTCTTCTCAAGCTGCTCTTTGAAATCTTCGGTTCAATTCTTTTATCTGGTCACTTCTGCCATTTGCTTTAGCTACTCTCCGCTCAAGGGCTAGTTTCAGAGTCTCTTCTGCCATCCATTTTGGTTTTCTGTTCTTTTGTTGTATTTTTAGTGACCTCTTGCTTTCTTCATGGATGATGCTCTTGAGGTCATCCCACAACTCATCTGGTCCGCTCACTGGTGTTCAATGCATCAAATCTATTCTTTAGATGGTCTCTAAATTCAGGAAGGATATATTCTAGATCTTATTTTGGCTCTTGTGGACTTGTTTTAATTGTCTTTAACTTCAGGTTGAACTTGCATATAAGCAGTTGATGGTCTGTTCCACAATCAGCTCCTGGCCTGGTTTTGGCTGAAGATATTGAGCTTTTCCATTGCCTCATGCCACAGATGTAGCCAATCTGATTCCTGTGTGTTCCATCTGGTGAAGTCCACGTGTACAGCTACCATTTATGTTGTTGAAAAAGGTGTTTGCAAAGAACAAGTTGTTGGTCTTGCAAAATTCTACCATGCGAGTCCCAGCATTTTTCTGCCACCAAGGCCAAAGTTTCCAACTACCGGTGATTCTTCTTTGTTTCCAACTTTTGCTTTCCAGTCACCAGTGATAATTAATACATCCTGATTGCAAGTTCGGTCAATTTCAGACTGCAGAAGTTGATAAAAATCTTCAGTTTCCCCATCCCTGGCTTTGGTGGTTGGTGCATAAATTTGAATGATAGTTGTATTAATGGGTCTTCCTTGTAGGCGTATGGATATTATCCTATCACCGACAGTACTGTACTTCAGGACAGATCTTGAAACATCCTTTGTGATGATGAATGCCACGCCATTCCTCTTTAAACTGTCGTTCCCGGCATAGTAGATCATATGGTTATGATTCAAAATGGCCAAAACCAGTCCATTTCAGCTCACTAATGCCTAGGATATCAATCTTTATGTGTTC